ACAGCACGGGTGAGGGGAGGCACAGCCGGGCTCGGCGCTGCCAGCGGGGCGTGGGTGCTGTTCACACTCAGCTGGCTTCACATCTCCCCATGGGACTCGTCCAGCACCACAGCATTCATGGGACCATCTGCTTCTCCCCCACCCAACCCTTCTGCTAAAGCAAAGATTTCAACAGAGGAGGCCAAACAAATCCTTTTCTATCCAACAAAAACCTCCTCACGCTGGAATGCATCAGATGAAATTCCCACAGTGTTTACAGATGAGGATGCAGCCATTCATCCCCATATCAGACCTACACAAAATGGGGGTTGTTCTCAAATGACAAAAACAGAAACACCTTTATTTTTTCCTTACTGCTCATGGTGATGATGCTCCTTGGGCTGAGCATTTCCAACAAAAGAGCAAATTTGCAGCCAGGAATCTGTGCCTGACATGGGCAGGTCTCATCAGGGCGTGGTGGCCGCTGAGTTGTGGGTCCATGGCCATGGAGGAGCAAAAGAGGCAGCAAATGACCATGGCAGAGCAAAGGGGCCATGGCTGGGCTTGTCTGTGCTCAGCCAGAGGAAAAAAAAATGAAGTGGAGAAAAGCCATTGAGCTCTGCAGAGGGGATTAGGATTTACTGTCATATCAGGTGAATTCAGGGCAATGAGAAGCTGCGAGCAGATTTTATCTCAGCTGATAATAAAACATCCTTTTCACACAACTAAAAGCAGGCATGTTGTACACATTCTATTTAACCTGACTCACACAGCCAAGCTTGAGTTGCTACATAAAAGCATAATTACTTATAGGATCTTTTTTACTAGTTTTTTTTTAATCTGGCATTGGGAGTTTAAGAGTCTGTGATATAATATTCTCCTTAAAAAAATTATCAATAAATCATAAAAAGGAGAAGGGAGCCTGAAAAAGCAATTTTATTTTCAGCCTTGGTGTAGCTGTTTTACAGTTATGGGCAAAGCCCTTAAAAATTTCCTTGTCTCAGTTAAGTGAACTGTGAAATGATGATAACACAACTGCAGCTCTGGGATCTGGGAGGACTGATGCTTTAACTGTGCCTTGAGATTTTTATATGCAGGATGTGAAGAAGTTTAAAACATTACTATGTCATTATCTTTTATACTTGTGTACTTATTGCTCTTGCAAACATAATATTTAGTCCTCTAAGAAGTGATTTATAGCATGTAAAGATATATATTTATAAGATATTTCGCCAAATAATGATACTACATGCTTTTCAGCAAATATAAAAATACAAATTTTATTACTCTTTTGATTATCCTTCGCATATTAAAAAGAAAATGTTTCCAATGGTCTGTATCATACTGAGAAGGAATATTCTGTCTCAGTAAGTTTAAGAATTAAATTATTATTTTGTCTACTGCTGATAAAAGCTCAGCAAGGCTAATCTCTCAAATAAATATGTAAAAATAAAGTTGTTACATGTTACCAAACTTATTCTTAACAACTTATAATATAAGTTGATTAAATCAAACTGTTAAAATGTACATACTGTTGTTTCTTTTTTTTTTTTGTTGGGTTTTATTTTTGTAATACCCCTGAAATCATCTTTACAATAGCATTTCTCATAAAGGAAAAGCTCCAAATACGTATTTTGTCCCACTCAGGCTATTTAGGGCTAAAATAGCTGTTAATTTGCATCTGATGGTGAGATGTTTATTTTCAGAATGAAATGTAAACGTTTTCTAAGATGTGTCATATCCATTTCACACATTTCATGAAACACCGTGGGCATCTGTTTATTTGCAATTTTTGCATAATTTGGCCATAGTTTGCTTGATATTTTCCCATGACTGCTTTCCAAGGGAGAAAAAATATGCAATATGCAGAGTGTTTAATGCAAAATGTCCTTTTAACAGAAGCTGAACTTCACTAAATTGGTCTTTAGGAGGCATCTGCTTTATCACTCTTATTTGTCCCTTCCTATTTCTGCTGGAGTTTCATTATCCACCTGACTTATTTCCTTGTTTTTTCCCTCCTGGCCTCTCTTGTTATGGCTGAGCCCTTGTGTGTTTAAATGTTAGCAGCTGCCTGGAAGTGACCTTAACTGCTCCTGGGAAAACCTGGTTATGTTTCCTTAGCAAAAACTGGGGAGATAATCAGTTCCTTGGGAATAAACACGAGCTTATCTGTGGATGTTTATTGGCACATGGAGATAAGGCAAGGGGCAGTAGCTTATGTGTGGATAATATCCCTGCTTCCCTAAAACCATGGGATAACTTGGGGGAAAGCTGTGCCTGCTCTAATCACCCCTCTGTTCATCCTGGGCAGACACTCTTGTGCACAGGATGAATATTAGAAACTGAGGTGAAGGCTCTTTGATTGCCACCAAATCAATCTCCAAGTGCAATTGAACCCTGATCAGTGTGCACTGCCATAGACCACTAAGGGAATGGATTCACAGAGGGACATGAGCTTGTTTTGGACACTGAGCTTTGTGGGAGATACATTTTTTTCCAGCTGCAGGTGGATGGGAGCTGAAGCTATCCTAAGATTTTAATGATTTTGTTCTTGTCTCCACCAATAGCACCTCCTCAGCCTTCCCCTTGAGAAGCTGATATCTGCTGTCCTCATGCCCCACCTGCTGAGAAAAGAGATGAAACCTCCTTGCAGGGCCAGTATTTGGGACATGAGGCTGTGCTGGAGGCAGGGCTGCACCCACACCTCGTGTCCCTGCACTGCCCTGCTCCCTGTCAAACCTCCAACACCCTCTTCCCTGCTGCTGCCACCCCTCATTTGGCAGAAAGGTCTCCTTCCCCTCTCCAATCCCAGAGATCTGCGCTGTTCCCTTGCTACACCCTCCAGCAGCCCCCTACCCACCCCAGGTTCATCACATTCTCTTTTCTTGATGCCCTGGGTACTCATTACACACATCAGAGCACTGCTGGGCAATGTGAGGCTTTAGCAAGCCATGCTTAATTCATTTTCACAAAGCCATCTCACAAACCTCAGACCCAGCAGCAGAGAAATGTCCAGCAGACAAGAAAAGGTGTTTAACAAATAAACTGGACTGAATGGACTGAATCAGAGACCTGCCCCATGTACACAACCAGTCAATAACAACTGCATGCTGCCATAACCACCCAGTCTCCTCCCTGCCCCAAACTAAGATGAGCCAGCTTTTATTGTTTTAAGAAAAATCCTTTTTTTTTTCCTCTCATAATGAAGTCATGAAATAGTTGGAATACAAGCAGATTGACAGCAGATCCCCCAAACAAACAAGCTAAGGACAGGAGAAATTGTTCTGCAAAATCAGGTTCTCTCAGGCTGTGTTTGAAAGTGGGCAGAAAAGGCAGCAAGAGGAGCTCTCTTCCCCTCATTAGCAGTCCCAGATTAGCTCTGGTAGTGCGCAGGAGGCTGGAGCTGGGATTGGATACGCACCCAAATGTCTCCTTGCTTATTCAGAGCTTATCAGAACACCCTGAACTTTCAGCCTTGCAAATACTGAGCTGGAAAAAGCAGAACAGGCTCTCTGGGGAGATTTCGTGTTCATTTTTACCTGTGGTTGGGCCAGAAATACTTCAAAGATAGATTTCCTTGTGACATTTGAAGTTTTCTCATTCAGGAGCCTGCCAGAACTTGAGCTATACAAAGGTAGATATTTATGGGGTCAGAGTTTCAGAAAATCTCAGCTTTCATAGAGTCACCGAAATAAATGACCTGCTTTTCAAAAAAGGTCTCATCACTAAAAAGACACCAAGCCTTGTGTCCCACAGGGAGCTGGTGCATTCCAAAGCCCCTTTGAAATCAAGATCTAATTGTGAGAGGTTTGCTTTTAGATATCTGACCGGAGATATTTCAAGCTAGAAATTTTAATGGGTTTGTGAAGCAAAAAAAGTCGTTAAATTCTTTAAGGCACAAAAATCAGTACAGACCTGGCTAACTATAGAAAGAAACATCCCAATCCTCAAGTTCAATGAAAAAAGGGAGAAACAGAAAAGTGAATATGACCTCAGTACACCAAGAGGAGAGGTTTATATAGGGATAATTATCTATTGCCTTTGTCACACGAAAATAATGTCAATAGAATGAAGACACTGGCTGGGGTCTAGTCCCAAATCTGCATTTTCCTTGCACCAGACAGGGCTTCTGGGCCAGCATGTATGACCTAGAGTCCCTGATGATTCCCTGAAATGCCAGTCCATGTCCATCAAGACACACTCTCTCCCTCTCCAAGCAGTTATTCCAAGAACTATTTTATTTCCCTTCCAGATGCTCTGTCCTATTGCGTGGCTGGCTCTCACTACAGACCCTGCTGGATCCTGTCCTGATTCTTGGAGATCTGGGAGGCTTTGCTGTTTTGGCTGCTGGAATTTGGCTTGCCTATTGTTCAAGGGGAAAAATTGTTCATCCAAACCTTTCCACCCAGTCTCAGTCCCAATAAATAACTAAGCTTTGTATTTTGACCTCAGGGAGATGTCAGTAGTGATGCAAAAGGGATGTTGCCAGTAGCCTCAGCTTTAATCTTCATGCTGCACTTTAATTGCATTCCACAGACCTAAAAAGGAACCTCCATTGACTACATTTGATCCAGGACAAATGACCAAACTGAGAAGTTAGCAGGCAGAAGGAACTGACTGCACAGTTGATTTGCCTGTTGGGACTCTGGCCTGAAGAAAAGGGAAACCTGTGGTTCCTAACAGCTTTGAATTTTGAGTCACTAGATCCACCTTTAACTTTTCACTTATTTATCCTTGAACACCCCTTGGAGTTTTGCCCTGTGGACCTGCAGACTGTGAGCTGCCTTGCCCAGGTGACACACACTGACCAGATTGGCGCTGGGGCCAGAGCACATTCTGGTACAATTCTGCTCTCATCAGCTTGTGAACCCCTCCTGAGTCAGATCCACCCAGGTATGACTATGCATGACATACAACACAAGAAGAAAGTTGTCAGAAGATCCTGAAATCAGCTGGTCACTAGAAAAGCTGTCCAGCTACTCCTAGCTGCATTAGAAGAGCAGTTTGCCAGTGGCACTTACCCAGCATCCCTTTGTTGGAACTGGACAAGCACATATCCTTCTCAGCACTGGGAAGAACAAATCCAACCACAAACACCTCCACCCCATCTGCCATCAGTGCCAACCCTAAAACAAAGAAGAGAGTCCACTGGAAGCGTCCGTGGCCACACTCCTCAATGATGTTCTCATACTGGTGGGCGAGCTGCTCCTCGTCCTCCATCCTCTCGGCCATGAGGTCAGCACGGTCTCTGTACTCATCATCCATGGCAGGGGCTCGCTTCTTCTGCTTCTCTTTAATGTCATCTGGGTGTGGGATCCCTTGGTACTCCCCCTCATAGACCTCATCATCCTCATCATGGCCTTCTGTGACATCACTCTGGGCATCCTCGTCCTGCGCGGGCTCATCCCCGCCCCGGTAGTAGCCATCGTTGGGTGTGTCATAGCTGCCATCCTGGTACCTGTAGTCATCTGAGACCTGGTTTGTGTTTCTATATCCATCATCCATTCTGAACAGAGAGTTCTAAATGCTGCAGGTCACTGTGTAGATATTCTAAAATGGGTTTGTGCAGTTCCTGGTGTCGGTTACTTGAACATATCTTCTCTCCGCTCTTTGGAACTGATGGGATGCACAGCTTCCCAGGCTTGGAAGGAGAATTATATATAAAGGTTCTCTCTGACAGAGCCTCAAGCAGCTTTTGGTAATGCTTCACTTTTCAGCTGTCATTTGTGACTTGCTGGCTCCTGTGCCTTGGGTGAGAAAAGCTGCTGTCTGGGGAACAGCGAGGGAAGAGCAAATTGCACAGCTGGGGAGCTAGGAGGACTTGACAGGTTTTTCCTGATTCATTGTGGTGCTGAAGGTCATGTCCTGAGAAAGAGGAAACAATAGCAATGAGACAGCAGTAAGCTTGCAAGCACACACGCACTGAGTTTATTGCCCAACATTTGGAATACGTGCTTTTCCTTTGAAAAAATATGGCAACAGAGGAATGCTTTTGCATCATCAAAAACCAAAGCCTCAGAAAAAACCAGAGCATTAAAATGTACCAAGTTCAGTGGGAACCCAAAGTAGAATGTAAAGTACCATGTGGTCCCAATTTCTGTCTTTCCTGGAAGTCCTGCCTCCCATATGTGGTCCTGCTTTCCATGGAGAGCAGAGCAGCACTGGGCTGGGTTGCTGGAACAGAGCTCTAAGATTGCTAAATATGTTTCCATCCATGTCCTCAGAGTACAGTCATCCCTGGTCCCTACAACTGGCTAGCATCATAATGAGACAAAATATGATCTTGGTTTTCTTTTTCATCCAGATCCCCACATTAATTTCATTTATTGGCTTCTTCTTTTCCCTAGTGTCTCTCCATCTGTATCCCAGATGCACAACTGGCATAAAGAGTCTGCCAAGTCACCAAAAGTCACACAAAGCTCTGTTCTCCCCATATCTAAACATCAACAGGGGATGATTTTCACAGAGAGCAAAAAAACAAAGCTAATACAGAATCACTGCTGTCTGCAGGGAAAAACAAGAAAAGTCAAGACACATCTAAACACACACTCCTTCTGGACACCTGATTTCCATTATTTTCCAGGCAGTTCCCAGCCAGCTGGCTCTGCAGTGTTCCCCTGCCTCTCCCAGCTGCAGACACAGAGTTTGGAAGGAGGAGCACATGGGAAAGGGAGTGGAGTCACGCCAGAGCAGCCAGCACAGCGTAGGCATGCACAGAACGTGGACTTTGCTTCAAGCTTTGAGCTACTTGCCTAAATAAAGTGCAAATGAGGTATGGATTGACATGGGCAGGCACAAGCCTGAGGATGTGTGGGTGTTGTTACCTACACAGTCAGTTGACCTATAGAGGCGCACGCAAACGCACACACTGTAAATAACAGTGCTATATGCAGCTGAAATGACTTCAGAGGAGAAATTCAGTAGCACTCTCTATAATAAAATGCTCAGAGGGGCATCACTCCTGCTGCAAATGCTGTGATTTTCTGGCAGCCCAAATGCTCAGGGTAAGGAAGGAGCCAAGGCCTGACTTCTCTGCATGGATTAGTGGCCATGCCTTGCCTGTGCTGTTCATGGAACTGCCCCAAGGAACTTCCTAAAAGCTTCCTCTGCCCTTCTGTTTATCTACCTGTATATCTGTGGCCCATAATTACAACACAGCCTCTGCAGAACCTGCCAGAACCTCTTCCTTTTCTCTGCTGTTTGTCACTACATTCAATGCGTTTCCTCTTCCCCTTCTTTATGCTGAATCACACTGTACATTTTGCATCGAGTGAAAAAGGCAACATGGCATTCTTCCAGAGCTCAAAAAGAGTGATCAATAAAGCAATAGAAAAAAAAATTTAAAAATTCCAAATGCATTCTGATCAGGTTATAATGATCAGGAGTCCACAGTGCAGGGAGGGGTAAAGAGAAGTATTTGCATAGGCACCAGAGCTGTTAATGTGCAGGGGAGTTAATACATCTGACAGCCATCAGAAGCATTTAAGTGAGTTCTACAGCTCTTGTTTCAGTGCTGGAGTGTTACCTTTAATGGTTAAAAAAGTCCAAAATTACTTTTGAGTCTCAGAACTCTCTCCCAGTCCTGAAGTAACTTTCTTGATTACACAAAGATTTGTGTCATGACTGAACATCGTGTTCTCCAAGGCGGTAAAATGTAGTTCCACAGAGACATATTTTCTTTGAAAAGTAGGGGAAGGAGCCTTTTATTTAAAGAGAAAAAACAAAAGAACAATATGTGCAAAAGAACATTAGGTCTTGCTTTGGAAGTCTTTAAGAATCATCTGCTGACAGGTCATGCTTCAAAGCAGCCTCAAATGTTGGAGCAGGAAGCGCAGTGACCTCACTGTGTTTGTCCCTTTCTGGTTGCCACAGAACTAAATTCAAAACTCCTTTTAGGAAACGAAGTAACAATAACCCTAATGATCAATAGCAGAACTGATCAGACTCTGAGTTTCCACAAACCTTATCTCTCTTTTCAAAAGGTAAAAGTATGTTCTTAAGTGCTGGAAATCTTTTTGTTCTCTGTTTAAAAGCTGCTGAGGCTTAAAGCTGGGCTCTTTGCCTCCCACAACAACAGGACCAAAGATCACAAACTCAGAAAAGACCTATTGAAGCATCCATGCTCTTTCACTGACACACAAAGTCTGGCATTTACCAGATGGAATCACATCTTGGGCAGCCTAAGAAATAATGACATGAGCTGATGAGTCTCACAGACCAGTGAGAGTCACCTGTATGGGGAAGAACAAGTATTTCAAAGAAAAGGTCATAGCAAAAAATAGTGATTGGTTTCCCATTCAGTTTGTAGGATGGATATTTTCTGGGATCACCCCAGGAGAAGGGGCAGTGCAGAGAAGCAGGCTGTAACTTCAGAATGCTACACTTTCTATATTTCACACCACTTGTTTTCTTTCTTTACCACATATGCACAGGCTGATTCACTCCAGACCTGATTCTTTAACACCCTTTCACTCAAGCTGAGCTGCACTCACTCATTAACAGCCCCATTTAGCATTTAGATGCGAAATCATGATGTGTCATGAAGATGGCAGGCTTGGGTTGCTATAATTACCCTTCACAGTGATGCATGAGGCTTGAGACAAATTTACACATCTCACCAAGCCCATTGTAGCAGGGTGGGTGTCAGTCTCTTCTCCTGGATAACAGCACAACAGGAAATGGCCTCAAGTTGTGCCAGGGAAGTTTCAGACAGGATATAAGGAAAATTGCATCATCAAAAGAGTTGCCAAGCATTGGAACTCTCTGCCCAGGCAGGTGGAGTCACCACCCCTGGAGGTATTTAGCAGACATGTAGATGTGGCACTTGGGGACATGGTTTAGTGCTGGGCTTGGCACTGTTGGCTCAATGGCTGGACTTAATGATCTTACAGTTCTTTTCCAATCTAAATTATTCTAATTGCAACCCTTGGCCCTTCTAAACTGCCAGATCCCTTTGAGACACACAAGTGAGGTTTAAAGACACGACAAATGTCAGGCTCCATAAGGCAGAGTCTGCAGGGGCAGGAGGGCAGAGGAAAGGAAAGCCTTATTCTGGTTCTGCCCAAAAGAGCCCATTAAAATGAGTGTTGGACACAGAAACCTGGGAGACATCAAAATTCAGATTCTCTCCTCATTTCTTTAAAATACACTGTGCACCATGCAGATTTCTTATAGTCTTTAGCTCTTTAGTTAGCTCAGATGTTGCATACTTAGCCAGGAATTCAGTCATTGGAGCTCTGCAACTTAAAATAGGAACCAAAAGTCTTGGATATCCTCATAATAGAAATGGTATCTAGTCTAGGAAAAGGGATGTTTAAAAAAAGCAGATGAACACCAGCATTTGCCTCTCTGAGGGGGCATATGGGTAAGTCTGGTGTGCTGAGGTGATAAACTGGGGGCTGGAGGGCAGCAGAGCTTGGAGGGCATGCAGAGAAGGGGGATTTTCTTGTGCCTGGTACTAAATGAAGAGAGCCCAGGGCTTGTCAGAGAGCTGAGCTCTATCAGAGGGCAGAAATCATGTCAAATTAGTGACCAGGGTAGATATGAGAAGGGCTTTCCATGAAATATTGCACCTTGGGGCATGATGGAGTTTCTGGAAAAGCAAAGAGAGTGAGGATGTTGCTTTGTGGGAGCACGAGCCGTGGGTGCACACACATCAATGCAATGTGAATGCACATCCATGGTGAGCATCCAGCAGGGACACAGGGAGCCAAGGCTGGGAGCTGCCTCCCAGGGCCTTTCTGCATGCTCAGAAGGGCAGAACACTCAAAACCAACAGCAGGAGGGAGAGGTTATTTGAGCACTAAGGAGAAGGAGCATGACAGGGACACCGTAAAAATGCTTTCAAGGGATTTTTAGCATTCACCAGAATAATCCCTGTAAAACAGATGGCAGAGCAGTTTAATATTCTGCCTGAAGGACGACTCCTCCTGCAGAACATCCTCACCCCCAGAGCTGCTTTCTGCTGACAGCAATGGGAAGGTGCCCAGATCCTACAGTGACCATAAGGACATTCTGCAGTCACAGAGCTGACTGTAAAAAAAATCCTGAGAAGAAATTTTCCTCACTGAAAAGAGAAAGATGGTTATGTAGATAGGATTCTGTGGAGTTCCAATCTCACATTCTTAGTGAGGCTGCAGTTAATGGATCTGCTTGTACACATGAAGGGACAGATTTTTGAGGTGCCTAAGAAATCACAGCTCCCAGGGCTGCAGCATCCTGGATTTCAGCAGTGACAGCAACATTATCAGACAGGCTGAGCCCTGTGGCAATGAGTGATCACCGAGCTGCTGGAGTAAGTGCTGCAGGTTGAGCATCCTTTGCTTTTTGGCATCTCTGTGTCCCTCCAGACCCCACATCAGGACAGCACAGATTTCCCCTGGTGGGAATTACAGATCCCTCACAGCTGTGGTTATATGAATATATTCATGTATGGGCAACTTGTGTCCCCAAAACCTTAAACCTTAAATACACCAGAATTTGGGGGGATGAGGTCTCTGTGCTTCCAGCTTCACAGCTGAGGAGTTGTCAGGAAAAGTGGTCCCAGGTCTTTGCC